GTAGTAGATGCCATTTGAACATTCCCCCTGCTAACTAAAGCATCAGCAAGAAGCCTTTATCTGTTCTCTCTACTGATTACAAAAACTTTATCTTTTGGGGTGGGACAAAGACAGGTCAGAAAGAATAATCTTAAATCCAGGGTTATTCTCCTTTCAGGATAATCCAAGGCATCTGCATGAATGTGTATTGGGGCACTGCTGATGACACATCAAAAGAGTCCTGCAATTTAAGCACTGAATTTGGAATTCATTTTATCCTGGATACATCCTGTGATCTCAACAGACTTAAAATAAATTTAAAAAGTTCACATTTTGGGTTTTAAAACTCCTTGAGGCTTAGGTCTGCCTACCCACCTGCCACACACCCCTATCAATACTGTTGTGCCTTCAAGAAATATTTCTTCTGTGTTTGGTGAACTACAGAGTCCCTGTGGATAAGCAAGGAGTTACTAGGCAGGGGCTGCAGCTCCTCAGTGCTCCAGAGAAACACACATTGCAACTGGTTTGCAGAAACTATCACAGAATCTGTCATCAGGCCCTTTGCAGCAACTCTTATCAACAAGCTTTCTTACTGTCCTTTGAATGCTTATCAGCAGCAGGTCTCCACATACAGTGGGAGAATTAATGCTGGCCAGGATAATTATATCTTATCTAGAGACTGGTACTTCCTAAGAGCATAATAACTGTTTAATTTGGCAAGACACCAAAGCATGTACTGTGTGTTGTTCTGAAATCTCTATGACCAGCAGTGCTGTATTTCACTGTCTCATGCTGGGTCCTGCTGAGCACTGCAAGTGAAATCCAAAGACAAGAGTCATGTAGAAAGCTGGAGGTACTACAGGAGGTACTAAAAAGTCTGAATGCTGGAAAAAAATATGCCACCTGCCTCACCCTCCTACGCCACATAATTGTGTGGCTATTCATTTTCTGCTTTACCTGCAACAGAAGCAAAGTTATTCCACAGCTAATTCAGCCAGCCATGTGAGGGCTGCAGGCCACCTACAGTTTCACCCTTACACATCACTTATTCTAAAACCACAGTGAAGCCGTGGGCAGCTATTAAAAAAAGATATGCAAAACAAGATCAAAACACTGACCACTCTGCCTACACAAAAACTCAGATATGAGACTGCACTACGTGCAATGGAAACTTCAGTTTTAGGGCCTTACACTTGGCAAACTCCACCATTATCAGGCCACAGGATGAACCAGCCCAACAGGCTGAAGTCCATGCTGTTCTCAGCCAATGCTCCTATGCCAACCTTCATATTGTTCTCCTCAACCAACATTCCTGTGCCAGCCTTCAAACACCAAGTAACAGGTATTGACAACATTGGAATGCAAATGTTGTGGCTGTGACAGGGATTTACTCCCTTAGCACACCCCTGCTCCTACAGGGTTTAAATCTGCTCAGTTCCAAGTTCCTGCTTCCCAGCAACCTGAAATTATTAACACCTCCCAAGGAATCAGAGCCCAGCCTGAAGGGCAGATCCTCTGAGCACTGACACCAATGGCACTGGTTAGATGGAGCACAAGCAGAGCTGGACAGACCAAAGCCCTGGAAAATACTGAGGCTTAAAATTAGCACAGACACCCAAATTCCAAGGGTAGCACAGAACCACACACCTCCACTATAACGAAATATTTACATTTTACGAATTATTATTTTTTTTTCCCATTTTTAGGGCAAAACCGAGGCAACCAGAGGACGCCAAGGTTTAGCCTCCCTGAGGTGACAACACATCACCGGTTTTACTCCTCAATCAGGGGGCAGGGCAGGAAGAGCAGCCAGGCCTGGTGGCACAAGCCGAGCTGGGAGAG